AATAAAAACAAAAGTTAAATCAAAAATGTAAAAAAAAAAAAGATCACAGAAAATAACTGAAAATTTTACACCTTAAATAAAAACAAAAGTTAAATCAAAAATGTAAAAAAAAAAAAGATCACAGAAAATAACTGAAAATTTTACACCTTAAATAAAAACGAAAGTTAAATCAAAAATGTAAAAAAAAAATCAAAATCTTTTTACCATGTTCCCTGCCTTGTGTTTCTAACCTTCTAAATTAATGGGAGGGTCAAAAGTAATCAAAACAACCCAAAATGAAAATGATAGATCTTGGTTTTAAACTAAATTAAATATATTCTCTCTACAAAGTTAAGTTGAACAGAAATCTAAAAGGAACTTGTGATTTACAATTTTTTTACATGACAGTTCACAACAATAGTAGTGCAAATGTAAACTCTATGCATAACTTCACACCCTCTGGGTTCTTAAGCTTTCCAAACACATTGGTAAATTGAGTTACCAAAAATCTCCCTTCAGTAAGAGTGCACAGATGTTAGTTCTGTGAGTTCTGCTGTTATAGACTGGTTGGCTGACCAGGATGGTCACCGTTCTCTTGCCAAAAGTGATACAGTCTCTGTAGATTTCAATTCCAAAAGTTTGGGGTCTTTCTGCTTGGAGGTAAATGCCCTCCTACGCACGTGTGTTGGTTCTCTTCCGGTACTCTAGATTTCTCCCACAAGCCGAAAACATGACCGTTAGGTCAAAGGGTGACCCTTAGGTATGAGTGTGTGGGTGTGCATGGTTATTTGTTTTTGTGCTAGTCTGTGAATTACTGTCAACCTGTCCAAACTGGAATAGCAGGTATGGAAAATGAAAGGATAAAAACAAAATCTTCCTCTATGCATATTATTCTCAGACTGGGGCACTGCTTGGTTCTGCCAGTGCAGCCAAGAACGTGTGAAAACAGGAAAAAGGAACAGTCACTTCTGGGAATCATTTTATAATGCTCGTGTCGAGGCTCGTATGTGACATCATTCATAACATTAAAAGCTTTTCTGATTCGTGGAGATGTTTGAATTCAGGTGTGATTTATGAACAGATAGTTACATGTTATGGATCCTTTCATACAAACAGGTTAGAGGTGCGTTTTAAACTGGTGAGAAAGTAAGTAGTCTCTGTGGGAAAATTTGATACATGATTCCTGCGGTTTAAACATTTTGTTTCTTTTAGGGATGTTTAGCCTGTATTGATTTCCTTTTGAAGCTATTTAGCTGTAGAAATAATAATTATTACATTTGACTGAATAGCAATATCCTTAATATAAGAAACCAAATAGCCCTGTGAAGAAGGATTTATTTTTATATACTTTTACGTTTATTTAGATTTTCCAAAAAAGCATAAATACAATTTACAATCTAATAGTGAACTACTAAATAGATTGTCCTTCATGATTACGAAAATACTACTGAAAGCTAAGATATATGGCTGCTAAACCTTTGTTTGACCAGCAGGGGGATTGTGTTCAAAGAAATAGAGCCTTTTGCTTGATAATTTAGTCACATCTTAAATTAAGTTTCCTGACTAAATTGTTAATATTCACACCCATAAAGTCGATGTCAGATGCACATTTTTCATGCCCAAAAAACTCTTGTTCCATCTTTGCTTTTATTTTATTTTTTTTATCAAAACATCTAAATTAACTTTGACACACCAGTACTGGATGTTTTATACATCACATTGCATATTAGTAACAACAGTTTTAGAAAAAACTTTCAGCAAATTACTCTGTGACTTTTGGTCCAATTTAGTTTGTTCTCTCTTAAATCTTGTTGTTAAATTCTTAAGTGACACACATTACACTTTGCACGTTTTATTTTCTTGGATTTATTTTTGTTAAGGTATCATTAAAAATACATCTGAACGAATCATTCATCTTAAACAGTAAATCAAAACATTTCTTATATGCTTTTCAGAAAATCCAAACAGTGAGAAATTTCAGCACCATCTCAACAAATATACAACATTAAGCTAAACTAACTCTGATTGTAAATAGTTTACTTACTTAGATTGATTTTGTAAAAAAAATAAAATAAATACTAATAATATCAATAATAATATCCAAATATTTTTTTTAATACACTAAACTACACAAGTACTTATTTACCTAATAAAATATCAAAAAAGAAGACAACAAATTCAGAAAAATATATTCATAAAAATCCCACTTTTGATTCTTTATCCCTCTCATTTCCTCTCATACACAGATATAAGTTCTACCTCATTTCAGTCTCTCTACAATAAAATAAAATAATCTTACTTTGGAACATAGGCAAATACTTGCAACATTTCCCCCCTGTAAACATATTGTAATCTCACTTGCAGTTGTATTATTCAAGTTTAACAGAAAAAAAACCTTAAAAGTCTGGAATCGGGTCTTTTAAGACTTTTTGTGATGCTTGAAACAATCAAATTAAAGCAGTGCCAGCATAACGCTTCCAACGTTCCTTTACCAGCTTCCCACTGAGCTGTTCATGTTCCTGCCTGCCTCCAACAATCACTTATCAACCAACCAGAAAGCATTCCTGCAGAACCAGTCTCATAGGCTTCATACGTGGGATGCTCCGTGCGAGCTGATGCTCTGTGTGGCTATAGCGGTCCATTTTGGTTTTGAAGTATCAGAACCTCAGAGAGGAATCCTTGTTTAATTGATGTTGCACTTCAGCACTGCACAGTCCAGACTTCAACGTCGAGAACAGTAAAGTCCTCCTGCGTGGAAAGAGGAGCGTTGTGGAAGGTAGGGCAGGAGAAGCTGGCACCGTGGTACAAGTCCGCATCCAGCCACAAAGCAAAGCCACCTCTAAAAAAGAAACAGCAAAATAACAAACATAAAAACCAGTAATTAAATCTAATATGGAACCTCGTTAATAAAAGTTTTCAACTTAGATGTTTTAAGCATGTTGACTGGGATCAAAAAACACAAGCTGAGCTTACCCTCCTCCACCAATCTGCAGAGATTCCCAGTTGCCGTTTACAAAATAGGAGTTCTCCCCACTCCACCTGTATTGCTGAAGCAAAAATGAAATATTACAAGATTGTATGTTTTTATCATGAATTCAACTCCTTATTTACATTTAACATCCAAAGCATCCAGTTTGTAAGAATTAGCCTAGAGTTTCTCTTAGGCTATTCTTTAGAAGGTCTGTTTAAAATGTTAACTTGTTGCAGTATATTCAAGGATTCAAACGCCTCTGTTATAAAATCTTCCCTTACCTGGAAATCGGGGTTGAAGCTAAACAAGAAGGTCTCGCCAGTGCCGTAGAAATATTTACTGACTTTTAATGGATCAGAACAAAAAGCCCCAAACACCTGAAAGTAAAATTGTAACAGTCAGGGTTGTAGCTTCTCTATTTTTTGGAATAGTATTTGGTTTAATAATTAGATTTTGATTACAGAAACAAAATGCCAACCTTTTTGTTCATGTCTTTAATGACCAGCAGCACAGGGCTGTCCAGGTCAGCCATGTTCCTGTAGAGAGTCCTCAGGCTTGTTCCATGGATGGCGGTGCTGTACACCAGATGCCATGGGTAACCCTGGGTCTTTGGTGGCATGTGAGCATTAAGCTGTTGGAAAAGTAGTTTTTTGATCAGATGACATCTTTTGACATCTCACAAAACAGCATTAACTGAGTACTGGAAAAACACCAATACATTGATCTGTCAATATTATGGACTTTTCTCTTTCATGCATGTGTTTACTGATTGATTTTTAGTACGATCTGCAGCCATGCCATGAGATCAAGTGAAGTGCATGCATTGCTGCTTCCACCACTTGCAATCCATTGTTAATGTGTTGTTTGATTTGTTAATAAGAGTTTACTTTTGTTGTTTAAACAGAGACTGCCATGAGATTTATCATATTAACATGTAGATAGAGGATAAAAAATATCAAAACTATATCACCTTAAAAAACCATTCCCAAAAATGGTCAGCATACGTTGAGTATCAGGTAGACTGATGTCAGATCAGCCTTAAAAAACTGGGTCTCTGCTAATATCTCACCTTCTGTAGGTGATAGTCATTTAGCAGATGGCTGTCGTGTTTCAGGACAGGAAGCGTTTCCTCAGGTTCCTGGTACTCGCTCTCAGACACCACTGAGCTCCAAAGACTCAGGCGCCGTTTTGTCTCCTTCACTTCGATGATCTGCAACAGAGCAGAAGAATGCAAATATTTGATAACAAACTAATGCCAAAAGTGATAAATATTTGATAACAAAACTATTGCCAAAAGTGATAAATATTTGATAACAAAAGTAATGCCAAAAGCAACTTTTTGCTTTCTATAGGCCCGTTTCTGTATATCCTAATGTTGCCTTCAGAAACCTTCACATTTTAATGTCAGTTTAGTAACTTTCAGAGTTTCTTTAGTTTGTTGGATTTCAAATAAAGGTATCCCCCAACATATGACTCCACACAGTCACTGACAAAAATGAAGCACTCTAGTAGGTTACTGTCTTTTCCATGTAGCCCCTCATTCCTCTGTCCTATTCTGTACTCTGCTGCTCCACATGTCTGCTATCTGAATGCAAATGTTCACACTCATAAACACAGTGATATTCTAACTTTCATTAGTTGGGAAGTCAAGCTCACTGGGTTTTTTTTTTATGCTACCGGTAATTACTATTCCTTTGCGGCACGATTTGTGGGAAATCCTAGTCTGCTTCTGGTATACAGAAACAACGGATACACAAGATGTCCATATAGGGAAGGAGGACTTTCCCACAGTCCCAGGGACAACTGCCAGATTCCCTCCGTCATCTTGTTACAGTAAGAGGGAGGAGAGCTGTTCTCTCAGGAAACACATGAAACACTTCAGAATACTTCAAAAACTCCACCTTGTTAAATATCCAGTCATGATAGCTCTTTATTGAGGCGTACCTTCCAGACTTTTGCAGTTTTCAACTTTTCAAAACGGTCTCTGAAGAGCTTGTTGATTACACCAAAGACTTTGTCCACTGCAGGGTTATCACTCTCTTGCTGGTCTTTTCTGAACTTGCAAGACTTGCAGGCCTTCTTGCTGCCTGTTGAGTAGATTTCTGGGGACCATTGCACAAAGAAGGTGTAGAGGTGGTTGAGCCTGTGAGCGAAGAGGCAAGAACAATTAAATTTAATCATGAAAGAAAGACAAAGCACATTTCTACCTCTGCAGCTGCAATGAATGGTGGTTTCAAAGTAAAAGGGACAGAATAAAATGCATAACTCACTAAAAACAAAAATTAAAGTGCTGATGTCAGAAAGTGTGAAGAAGAACCTTGAGAAAGAAAGAAAGAAAGAAAGAAAGAAAGAAAGAAAGAAAGAAAGAAAGAAAGAAAGAAAGAAAGAAAGAAAGAAAGAAAGAAAGAAAGAA